GAGCATTGTGCTATCTGACTTAGTATAGTTGGTTTAGTACTGTGGCTAATAACCATATTGAAGGGCTGCCTAATTTCATGTCGTTTCTGTACTGTGTGAACTGATAATACATTTCCCATGTATTATCTACTGTTTTTAATATATTCTTCGATTACTTATCAAAAAAAAAAATGCTGGTTAATCAGGATTCGAGGCTGATTAGTTATTGAAAAATTAGTGTTAGAAGGAAGTACAAAAAATTTTGGGACCTCTTCTATACATTTGTTCTTTCCTTGAGAAACACGTATTTTCTTGCGAAACAATTTATCTTTCAAAGAGTACACTAATTAGTTCAGTGTTTGAACTGTTTAGATGGGCGCACTTGTGTCTTTAGTTGGTACATTTTTTACACGTTTTTTCACTTGCTTAATTCTTGCCTGTTACATCAGGTTCTGCTCACAACACCCACCACTCCTATGCCGCGAATGAAAGCCATCGTTGAAGCTTCAGAAGGATTCGTCTATGCAGATAGCATTTCTGGGAAAACTATGCAGATCTTTGTGAAAACCCTAACCGGTAAGATGATTACTCTTGAGGTTGAGAGTTCCGATATAATTGATAATGTGAAGGACAAGATCCAAGACAAGGAGGGCATCCCGCCAGACCAGCAGCGGCTTATTTTTGTTGGAAAACAGTTGGAGGACGGTAGAACCCTAGCCGATTACAACATTCAAAAGGAGTCTACTCTGCATCTTGTCCTCCGCCTCCGTGGCGGCGGAACTTGGAGGATCCCTTTCGTTGCTAATCACTTGGTGAAAAAAATTTCGCAGCTTAACCAAAAAGCGGAGAAGGAATTGATAAAAACCTGGTCCCGGGGTTCTACTATTATTCCTGAAATGGTGGGCCATAGGATTGCTGTTTACAATGGTAAGAAACACGTGCCTTTTCGTATATCAGAGCAGATGGTTGGCCATAAATTGGGAGAACTTCGCCCTCGTCGTCAAGCAAGAAGAGAAAGAGAAGTTCAGCAGAAGAAGGGAACGAAGAAGAAATGAGAGACAACAAGGAAACGTCAGGAGCAGATTTTTATCAACTGTCATAAATACCATCACGCCTTGTGCTGCCTTCAAGTCGGCAAATATTCAAGTTTTTCACGATATTTAATGCTTTTGCCTTAATATTTCTCATCATGAAGTACTTCTAGTTATGAATGAAATAGTGACATTGATGCAGTTGTGTTTTTGTTGTTGAATGATATCAATTGGCGTTTTTGTTTCTTGATGATTTCAATTGCCACTGAGTATGAGGTCCTCGAGATAATATACCTTAAGGTTAGAATGAAGTTAAGTTTTTACCATCTCGCTGTTTCGAATGGAGAGAACACTGATTATGTTAGGATTTTGTGTTGAAATTATTTTAGTCTCCAGTCTGTGCTTCACAGCAGCAGAATCAGTTGCAGCAACAATTGGGGCAGATGAACAGCAATAATCTGTGGCTGTCCGCATTAATGGGGAAAACAGGGCACCTGCCCATGTTATCTGGTCAACCTGCAGCGGCTGCAGCATAGTTTAATTTGCAGAGTCAGTTTTTAACTTCGGCGAGGAGTCTTGATAATGACACAATCATCTTTGTAACTCTTACAATCTGTTTTGTGTTTTCTTGCTTTAGATTCATATGGATAAGCACACTTTTGTGTTTCACTGTGAAAATTTGATTTGGATGTTGGTTATTTCTTTATATGTGTATAGATTTAAGATGAACAGAATATTGGGCAGAGAAACTGGGTAATACTGGTCGCTGTTGCGCAATTACATAAGTTTCAGCCGAGACAGAGGGCAGGATTGATGCAGGGTTCTCCGTTCCACCCCGGTAATTCTCCTGGGCAGTCTTTGCAGGGAATGCAGGCAATGGGAATGATGGGCCCCCTCAATTTATGTTCTCAACTTAGAACAAATGGGACGCTTACTTGTGCTCAGCAAAGGATTAACCCTGGGCAATTGAGGCAGCAACTAGCACAGTAAAATGCACTCACCAATAGTCAGGTGCACTTTTTACTGTTTTTGATCTCATACGTTCTTCATTTCATCTTCTTCTCTGAGTGATACAGGCAAGTGCCCTGGCTATTGTTTTGTTCGATTCATATCTGAGTCTATCTTGTGGTAACTTAATTTGTCTCTACCATGGCACAACCTTGATGAAAAATAAAATGCCACACTAGGAAGAACTTGAGCAATAATTTCCAAGATTCGTCTTCATGGAGGTAGGGCTGTCCGTGGCTTCAGAACCGAACCGACCCAAAACTTTCGGGTATTTAATAAATGGAACCGTCGGGTCCAAATATAATTATGGAACCGTTCAAGTTCGGTTCCGTACTATAATTAAATTTTTTAATATTTACAGCAACACTACAAAAATACAACTAATGACATTTCATTTGTAACTTTTACAAATTAACGTAACCCAGTTCAAAAACATATAAATAACTAGCCGTCTAATAAGATTAATTCAATGTATATAAATACCAAAAAATAGATATTAATANAATTCAAAAACATATAAATAACTAGTCGTCCAATAAAATTAATTCAATGTGTACAAAAACAAAAAAAATAGATATTAATATTACAGCAACACTACAAAAAATAAATTCATTTGCTTCAAGCAGCCTGCCTACATAAAGAGTATGAAATATAAATTAAAAGTTATAAAAATAAAATATTTTTAAGTATTGGTAATGCTTACCAACTATTTGATTTAATCATTTGAAGGTTTTAAATTTAATGAGCAAATTCTAATAGTCACGTAGTCATGAGCAAATTAAAATGAGCTTTAAAAATGATTTGAGATTTAAACTTAAAATTATGAAATAATCTGATTTATTTAATTAATTGCTAATTTGTTTAAAAAAAAATAAAATAATTTAATTAATTCAATATAAAAAATAAAAAAAATTATTTAGTGTCGGTTTTTATTCGGTTCTTTGGTTCTTGGTCAAGATCCGAGACCCGATCCAAACCCATCGGTTCTCTATTCGGGTATCCGTTTGGGTATTTAACTTATGAAAAACCACTCGATTCGATTCTATTCAGTCCGATTCGGTTCGAAACTTTTGGACATCCGTACATGGAGGGATGCATGAATAATTTTAAGCCTTTAAGTGATTCAATTTTATCTGTTTTGATGGCAAGTATTGTGATTGTGGATTAAATCACTGCCGCATTAGGTTAACGCCCAGACTAGCATGAAACGATTGGTATTTATTATCCGTCTGTTTCACTTATCTTATTTTCTTGCACAATTGACTGTGCGCTTTATGCATCTTCTAAGACTACAAATTCATTTGTGCAAGCCATAAATCCAAACATTAATTTTGGTGTCCGTTCGAGTTATCATAAAGCCTTTTTCTTTTGCTGGTGTTTCATTTCTTTAAGCATCAAGGTAAGCTTGTGCAAATTTTTTTCTCCCTTACTAATGGAAAGTAATGATAAAGAATATTTAGTTGCAATTATGATTTACAAAGGTTTGCTTCCTCACTCGTCGTAGTCACATTTGAAGATCTTATTTAATAATTTCTGAAAAATTGAAAGGAAATAACATATTCAAATATTTAATTTAAAGTTAAACTGGACCACACTCACATCTGTACCTTCAGTAACATACATGAGCTCCTCATGGCAGTGGTTATTGAACTTTCAACCCAGTGGGTTGTTTCAGAAAGGTGGGTAGTTTGAAGCAGATAATATCATGTTAGGGAAGGAAACAATTGTTTAAGTTATTGCTATCAATATGCTAATCAAAGGTTGAGTGGAACATCAAAATTATCATTAGCACTAGCTTAGTGGGATATGTGGATTTAAAAGAGAGACTTATTTGAGGGGGATCTTGATGATAATTTGGATGCATGCGTTAGAACTTGTTTTTTGATTCACTTTTTCCTCCTTAAGATAACTGTGAGGGTCTGAGGGAAATGCTCAAAATCTTAACATTATTGTTTTATATATTTATTTTTTATGTCATTTTGTTTCAATTTGAGGTGATGCCTTGATTTCATGTTCGTATCAAGTAATCACTTGAATGGACAAGCAATGATTACCATCCACAATGGTTGATATGTAAGTTACATTGGTGATCAACAAGAAATGTGATAAAGTACCTCTATAAGGACTATGGTCTAAGAATGCATGTATGAGGGGAAGAATATTTAAATATGTTATTTAAGCTGACAGTTGCTCCAAGGGAGAAGACAGTATATTCAGATTTTGTTGTACTATCAGTCATTGATCCTTTATTGCTGGAAACTTTAGTACCTGAGATTCGCTTCATCATCAGTGATGGGTATTATTTGCAAGCAAAGTATCTCATTAATGCTCAGTTTGTTTCCATGGAAAATGGTGGGAAGAAGATATGAATTTCCTGGATTCCTACTCGTTAAATTGATATTCTTTCCCTTTTCATCTTGGTTTTTGGACATATCTCAATGCTTTCTCTTGCAAAATTAGTCCTAAAAAGAGTTCTCCTATAGTTTTTTGGAATTTTAGTTCAACCAGACGAGTAAAAAGTCTGGCATACTGATCTTATAGTTGGCTTTCAATTTGGCCACTAAACTTTAATTTGTTCCAATTTAATCATTCAATTTTAAGATTTGTTTTTACTTCTGTCATTGAACTTCAATTTATTCCGCATTATTCACCCAAATATAAAATTTGTTTCACGTTGGTCATATTGTAAATCTTCTTGCAGCTGAGAAATCACCTGCCTGAATTAGCATCAATTCAAGTTTACAAAGTACTCTCTTCAATATGGAAAAATATATGATTGTTTGACACATCATATTGAAGATTAATTTTAAAATGGAGACTAATGTGGTGACCAATGTGAATCAAAACTCGAAGTTCAGTGGCTAATTTGGAACAAATTAAAGTACAGTAACCAACGGAGTTTTTGTTCACCAAATACCTGAATTCTTTTCCTATTTTTCTTTTCCCTTGTTTAGAAAAAAAGCATATGAGGCTAAATATAAATTCAGTTAAATATGGAAGTTTCTCTAGTACGTGTAACGTGGCTTGGCATGTATGATGGATCGATGGTTGAGTCAAAACTTTTAGACGATGACAATATTATCGTTATGATTGATGTTTTTGCTAATACTTATGCCATGGTTTAAGAAAACCCAATTAAAAGGCCTGCTTCACAGTGTGGTGTGCAAAAAATGCTTCAAGGTGTTATGGAGGGGTACACCTTAGTTTTATGAGACACACTGAGGGAGATCATAGTAGATATATTACATGGAAGACTTTTCAATTTAGATACTTATTTCATGAAACATAATTATGATTTTATTTCATAGATTTTCTAGTATTTTATGTTGTTTCATTAGTTGTTTTCATATTTAAATTATGTTACTTGAAACCCTATATAAAGAGGGCCTATGCATTGTAAACACTGACTTCCTTGCTTATTGATGACATATTGAACTTCTAATTAGTCTTGAATTATTTGTGTTGGAACATAACATTGTACTAAGTTGTTGCTCTATTAATTGTCCTAAAGCTAGAGGAATTTTAGATCCAATAGCTTAATGCCTAGGAAAATTAGAGTTGCAGGAAGGGATGTGTGGGATTAAGGGCATCTCTAAAATGCTCTTTAAATATAAGATCTTTCTATTTTAAAAAGTCAACTCTTAAATTTTTGTCCAAGAGACTATTTAAATTAACATTTTAAAATAGAGAGTGAATTTGACTATTTAAATTTGGAAAGCCAAACCCATTCTCTATAATTAAATACTTTCAATTATTTCAAATTTCAATGGAGGAATATAATATAATAATTTAGAAGGAATCTAATGAAACAAAAGATAGGGAAAAATAACAAATATTTTTTGGGAGTAGTAAAATTAAGTGTTAAATATAAAGAGCTTGTTGAAGAACTTAAAATTTTTTGCTCTCTAAATGGTAAAATATGCTCTTTAAAATTAAAAATATAGTCTCTTGGAGATGCTCTGACACATTATATGTTTGATACATTTCTTTTAGGATTCTATAGATTCAAATAACTGGTTTTGCCAGCCATCACATAAAATTTATGTATTTTTCCCATTTCACATCTCCACAAAAGGAGGCACAACCACATTTCAAATTCTACAGTTATTCAGCTCAAGGCTGTGTTGATCCAGCATTTTTGTGAGGTAGA